TGCAACCCCCCTGCAACATTCCCAGGTCAAATCTGCCCTGCTCCCTGCTCCGTCACACCCCCCCTTTGGTTCCTTCTTGCCGGCTACTCCGACAGAGGGGATGGAGGATGGGTATTGGAATGGACGTGAACAACAGTTACAAGAAGGTGAGTAACCGTCTTTTCTTCGTCGAGTGATTGTTCACGTCGATTCTAATCAGGTGACTCCCAAGCTCTGCCACGGGGGTGGGGTCAGAGTTAAGGAATCACTGACTGGAGCACTGCTCTAGCGGGAGCTGCGTCATCTCTAGCCTGCTAGGTGATGGCGGAGTGGGTGGCAAAGGACCAGGTCACCGCTCTGCAGACCTCCTGGAGGGGCACCTGGGCCAGGAAAGCGATGGACGAGGCTTGAACTTGTGTCAAGGGGGCTGTTATAGCCGGAGCTGGGACCTCGGCAAGGTCATAACAGGTATGGATGCAGTCTGTAATCCAGGAAGAAATGTGCTGTGAGACCGGAAGCCCCTTTATCCGGTCTACCACCACCACAAACAGCTGGTCCGACTTCCTGAAAGGCTTCGTGCGCTCAATGCAGAATGCTAATGCTCTCTGCACATCCAGTGAGTGACGCCTCCGCTCCTGTGCGTTAGCATGTGGCTTGGGATAGAAAACGTAGAAAAATGTCCTGGCTGAGGTGGAATTGGGATACCACCTTGGGCAGGAAGGCTGGGTACACCTGAGCAGTACCTTGTCCTTGTGGAAGGCTGTGTGTGTGTGTGGGGAGGGGGAGAGATGTCAGAGGTTAATGCTTTTAACTCCAGCACCCTCCTGGCCGATGTGATTGCAACCAGAAAGGCCGCCTTCCACAAGATACAGAAGGGAACATGTAGCAAGCGGCTCGAATGGGTCTCTCATAAACCAAGCTAGGACCAGGTTGAGGTCCCAGGCCAGTACCGGTGGGCGAGACGGAGGGTATAGCCGTTCCAGACCCTTAAGGAAACAGCCTACCATAGGGTTAGCGAGCGCCCCAACTCTCCCGGATGGGACACTGGGGTGGCCGCGAGGTCTAGCCTGATGGATGAGCCGGCCAGGCCTTGCTGCTTCAGATGCAGTAGATAGTCCAGGATGAATGGTCTAGATGCCTGAAGTGGGGGTAGGTGAGTGTGATCACGTGAGCAAGGGTGTGGGTGGGAGCATAAGAACAAAGTATTTTCTCTCCACATCCTGGCGGTGGGCGGAATGGAGGCTGGAGTCTGCCACAGGGTATTAGAATTGTAAATAGTTTTAGTGACCGGCAACGCCACTCTGGAAGGGCATTCCGGCGCAAGAATGTCCACCACCGGGTCCTCTGACTCGATGACGTCCTCCGCCTGTAGGCCCATGTTACGGGTTAGGTGCCGGACAACGGCTCCTGTGTTCCGGTGCTGTCTCTTGGTCCTGGCCAAGAGAGGGTGACTGCGATCGGTGCCGAAGACACGGATCATCACACTCCCTGCGCTGGGCAATCTTGTACCGAGGCCGGTGCCAGGGGGTGTTGCGGTGATGTAGACGGGGAATGGGGCCGTGTAGCGAGGCGGTGGGATACCCCACAGCCCCACTGAGAGCCGAACCTCCCCTAATACCAATGTGGGCGGAGCCGCCGGGTCCGGCGCCCGTCCCTCAGAGGTCACGGCGCCGACCGGAAGTATAAAAGCCCACCTGCAGAGCGCAGTGGAGAACAAGCAGGCGGAGAGAGCAGACGTCTCAGGCTGAGCTCCCGCTTGGGAGACAGCCGCAGGCCGCGACCGGCCTGAGGACTCACCAGGCCAGCCAAGCCTACCCCCACCCGGTACCCCGAGGAGGACTGGCCTAACCGTCGCTGCTAGGGCCCCGGGCTGGGACGCAGTGGAGTGGGAGGGTCTGCGTCCCCCCCTGCCACCCACTCCTTGGGTGGCAGACTCCCCCCTTCCCCCTGGCCTAGAGAGGCTGGGGGCTGCTACAAACCCCGACCCAGCCCCTGCTTAAAGGCCTGGGTTTCTGACTGACTGTTTTGTTGCCGCGCCCTGACCTAGGGCCTGGGCTGCTATAGACATTGCCTCAGCCCCTGCTTGAGGGCCGGAGCCCAGACTGCGTGATTACTGCCCCGCCCTGATTGAGGGCTCGGGGCTCTTTTCGGACCTATTGGCTTAGCCCCTGCTTACGGGCCTGAGCCTGTAACCGTGTGTTTGCTGTCCCAGACTGCCGCCGGGCCAGGACTGACGGCGGACCGGAGCGAGGCGATGGAATACCCCACAGCCCCGCTGAGGGCCGAACCGCGGCCGAGACTGCTACAGGCCGGGAACGGTGCTGGTCTGGTTACGAAGAGCATCATCCTTGCAGGCTTGCCTCTAGATGGCACCCGTCTGGGCGGGGCCGGAGGCTTCTCTCTGACAGCAAGCGGCTGAGGTGCAGTACTTTCTAGAAGCTCCTTCGCAGCCTCGACAGTGCCCAGGGTGGAGGGGGGTTCCACCTCCTCCACCAGGCACTGCCCCGCCAGAGTCACTCAGGGCCGGGCTCAACGGTGCCAACTGGGGCGCCGGAGTCCACGGCACGAGCTCCTGCTGCTTGGAAGTCGAGTCATTCCTCTGAGGCAGCAAAGTCTCCCCAGATGGTCTCGCTCTCCTCAGAGAGCATCCTCTGTCCGCCTTCTTATGGTGCCGGGGTGCCGCTCCCTGCCGCCGTGCCGGGGATCTCCTCTGGGCTGGGTCGCCGCTCCCCGCTGCCGTGCCGGGGATCTCCTCCGCTGCCGTGCCGGGGTGCCACTCCCTGCCGCAGTGCCAGGGATCTCCTGCAGGCTGGGGGGCCGCTCCCTGCCGCGGTGCCGGGGATGGATCTGCGGTGCCAGGGCACCACTCCCTGCTGCCGTGCCAGGGAACTCCTGCGGTCCCAGGGCGCCACTCCCTCCTGCCATGCCGGGGGATCTCTGGTACCAAGTGGCTCTAGCACCAGAGACCTGCCTCGGTACGGATTCATGGACCGATGCCGGGGCACTCCGCACCAACCTTGGGCCCGGGATTTGGCAGTTGGGTACCACTGGATGGAGAGGGGTTTCCATTAACAGCTGCTTCAAACGGAAATCACGTACCTTCCTAGTCCTGGGCTTCAAATCCTTACAAATCTTACAGCGCTTGGACTGAGGCGCCTCCCCTAGACACCTCAGGCACAAGTCGTGCAGGTCGCTATTGGGCATAGGCTTCTTGCATACGCCGCAAGATTTAAATTCTTGGGCCTGAGGCGGCAGTGAGGGGAGAACGACCCACTCACCAAGTCTGTCTTAACTACGATAAACTACAAACCAAACCTGAGCAGGACAAAGTAAGAGCCAAGGGAACACGTGCAAGCAAGCGAAACGCCGTTCCAACCCGGCCATGGACGGTAAGAAGGAACTGAAGGGGGGGTGGGGTCGAATCGAGTCGGCAGAGCCGTATATTGAGCGCCAGGAGGGCACTGCTCCAGGGGGCTCCCTGGCCGACCCGATGGGAGCTGCTGAGGGAAAAGTTTCCAATGACCATGCACGGGGCGTGCGCACACCTGCTTGGAATTAACCTGAACAATCACTCTGGCAAACAGAGGCTCGGGACACCATCCCTGCCCAGCCCGGCTAGTAGCCATCGATGGTCCTATCCTCCATGAACGTATCTAGACAACCCCCTGCTCTGGTGGTCACTAGCCCTCTGGCAGCAGAGGCTGGGACTGAGTGGCCGGCTCACTGGATAATTGCCCTGCTCTGGTCACTGGCAGAATGGCTGGGGCATTGGGCTGTTCTGTTCAGCGGGGGCTCTGTGCTGTGGACAGGGGTGGGGGGTGCTATTGCAATCCCGTGCCGCAGCCCCCCACGCACTGTCCTGCAGCAGGGTCCTGCAGCCAGGGCCGGCTCTAGGCACCAGCAAAGCAAACATGTGCTTGGGGCGGCACATTTGCAGGGGCGGCAAGAATCCAGCATGGGAGCTGAGAACCAACAGGGGGCCCTGGGAGCTGTAGTTCCTTGCTTAGCTCCCTGCCTATAGAGCCAG